ACTGGGGTCAAGGGTTAAATGATTGTTGCAGAAGTCATAGCTTGTTTGGGGGCCTCCCCATGTGCCCCTGTCCTGTGGGGTTGGCAGTTGTATAAACCCACAACAGTTGCCCAGTGTCTCAGTTGCCCTTTCCCTTCTTCAGGTGTATGTAGCCACTTTCAGCCCTTGATACAGGAGGCTCATGCTAGGGTGTGCTATTCACCAGGCCATGAGTTGCCATCGCAGCAGCATACAGGAACAGCTTGTGTCTGTTCCCAACTCTGTGCCCAGAGCTCCATCTGATTGTGCTTCGTGGATAAGCTTCACAGGATCTTGACCTAAGGAACTAATCATACCATCTTTGGAGATAGCTTCCGCCTATTGTCTTTCTTGGCCTGTGAGCTATAGAATACTTCCTGCCAGGTACGTATGATATCGCCAGGCAACACCTCTGTATCAGGACTTAGAGTGGACTTTGACATTTCCATCCAGGTCAAGAAGCACAGGTCTTTATGGACTTCCATGCTGTCTGGGTCTATTCTTCCTTATCCAAGGCCATTGTGTAGGTGGCTGCTGCTTTCTTAACTATGGGCCAGATGGTGACTGGCAAGGCCAGAAGTATCCCAGCAAACTCAGATTGTCATTCCACAGCCCTTGAGCCTCTGGATCCACCAGGCGGAGTGACTTGGGCATGTAGTTCCAAACAGACATCCTAGGGGTTGTCACACACACTGAGAAGCCACCTTGTCTCATAGAGAGAGTTTAAGGGGACAGCAGTGATGTGTCTTTCATGATTTTTTTTTTAACTTCACTAATGCTGTTAGTCCAGGGGCACATGGGGGATACTCCTCTCATTCTCCCATTGGAGGACATGCAACAGGCAAACTTTCTGCAGATAAGCTTTACCTTAGCCTTCTTGGTCTGTGGCGTTATGGTGCCATGATCCTTCTGAGTGAGGAGCTGGAACAGGAGACAAACCAGCTGGCCACCAGCGCTTCAGGTGGGATGTCTTCCTGCACCGTCTTCCTCCTCAAAGGCTGTCCTCCTCCCTGGGGCAGGGAGCCAGAACAGTCTCAAGAATAATTTGGGCAGGCTGTATCTGGTGACAACCTCCACGACGTAGGCACAGACAAAATGCACGGAGAAGAGCACAATAGACAGAAAGCAGAACAAACCCCAGGCCCTCTGCAGAGCAGTCCTCAGGGGCGCCCCCAGTTTCTTGACCAGAGCCAGTCCCCAGTAACTGTCTCCCTATTTTCCCACAGAAATGACTGTCCTCACTCAATCACCTCCTCAAATCCCATCCGCATTGCCTGTTTTCATGTTCAAGGGTCTCAGGTGGTCCCAGTCAGCCAGCTTCCCACGGGGTGATTTCCCCCCTCAGGCCAAACCAAGTCAAAGATGAGTCTCAGGCACAGTCTGTTGCTCAAGCAATTTATTCCGGCAACACTCCACAGGATGGCCAGCAGAACAGGCCGGTGGCATGGGCCAGATACAGTCACGGGGGCAGATGGCAGACTAACTGAGAAGGTTTCTATTCAGATTGTATTCAGAGTGTGGGGGATCCTTTCCCCTTTCTTATATCTGTATTCAATTGGGACCAATTACCATGGGTTTCTTTCATAAAGGGAGTTTCAGCTACTCTTATAAGGGTCAGCTGTGTGCTAAGGTTCATGAGAGTTGCATGTGCGCTGAAGTGTCCTGGACTTCCCCAGAGCAAGGGGCATCATACTGCAATGTGACACACAGTGTCATACCTGCAAGATGCCTGAGTGAGCCTTATGGCTTTCCTTAATCATATTAGCCACAATATCTCTCAGGGTATATGCTACATTATGAAAAACTTCTTGAAAAAAGTGAAATAAGCCAGGTACAGTGGGGCCCACCTATGATCATAGAGACTCAGGAGGCTGAGGCAGGAGGATTGCAAGTTTGAGGCCAACCTCAGCAACTTAGTGAGACCCTGTGTTAAAAATAAAAGGGCTGGGGTTGTGGCTCAGTGATAAAAGCACTCCTGGGTTCAATCCCCTGTGCCACACACACACCAAAAAAATAAATAAATAAATAAAWAATAAAGCTTAAAATTTATTTATAAAGTCTCTTTCCTAAGGATTTATCGACTTACTTCAATTTCTCTGATATTTTTAATCTAGAAAAAAAGTTTGACCAAATGAATCTACTAAAGCTTCTTTTTCAAAATCCTAAAATATCCTTTTGGGATCTAAAAAAGGAATTTCAAGAAATAGTTAATAATTTCAAAGCCCTTCCCTTTATCCAGAGAATCAGAATAAAATGTGGCAAAAGACAGTGTATGGTACTTAGCCTATCTGTACATCTTCTGACAAAGCAGAAGTTAAAAATTAAAAAAGGAAGAGAAGAAGAAGGGAAGAGGGAATTCCTTAATAGGACACCCATGGCACAAGAGTTAAAAACAAGAATCAACAAATGGGACTTACTCAAACTAAAAAGTTTTTTCTCAGCAAGAGAAACTATAAGAGAGGTAAATAGGGAGCCTACATCATGGGAACGAATCTTTACTCCTCACACTTCAGATAGAGCCCTAATATCCAGAGTATACAAAGAACTCAAAAAATTAAACAATAAGAAAACAAATAACCCAATCAACAAATGGGCCAAGGACCTGAACAGACACTTCTCAGAGGAGGACATACAATCA